TCTAGACACAAACGCCACTGCTCTAGACATAAACGCCACTGCTCTAGACATAAACGCCACTGCCCTAGACATAAACGCCACTGCACTAGAAATAAACGCCACTGCCCTAGATATAAACGCCACTGCAGTAAGCATAAACGCCACTGCACTAGACATAAACGCCACTGCTCTAGACATAAACGCCACTGCTCTAGACATAAACGCCACTGCACTAGACATAAACGCCACTGCACTAGAAATAAACGCCACTGCCCTAGACATAAACGCCACTGCAGTAAGCATAAACGCCACTGCACTAGACATAAACGCCACTGCACTAGACATAAACGCCACTGCACTAGACATAAACGCCACTGCACTAGACATAAACGCCCCTGCTCTAGACATAAACGCCACTGCACTAGACATAAACGCCACTGCACTAGAAATAAACGCCACTGCCCTAGACATAAACGCCACTGCTCTAGACATAAACGCCACTGCTCTAGACATAAACGCCACTGCCCTAGACATATACATCATTGTTGTCTAAATCTCACTTGAGATGATCTTGTGTCCAGTCCAAACGCCAGGTGTGGTAGTCGGTGTGATAATTTGCGCTGTGCCTGTAATAGAATCATGTTGATCATAACCAGTCAGTTACTTACAATATTGATTTTTCTTCTTCCGACTATGTTTTTACTTGGCATCGATGATTATTTCTCTCCATGGTCCTCAATCATCAAATATGAGTCCGGCATCATGTGCTCTGTTCTTCTGGAATGAAAATGCTTCTTTAGTTGACTTTACTTCCTAAATCTGAGTTAGCTTCCATCATCAGCATCAGGTCCTTTGCACAATGTCGGTCTGGTCACGACACACATGAATTTGTATGATTCTCTGGCAATTCTCAAGCCAATTTCTAGCCAATTCCCTATCCAATTCTCTAGCGAATTCTCTAGTTAATTCTCTAGGAAGAATCGGCTCACCAAACAAAATTGAAAGACAAAGAGATTGCTGCCCAAGAAGAAAGAGATAGGGTACAGATGGTGATTAAAGAGAGGGAGATAGCTCATTATCATAAAAGATAAATAAAGAACCATGTTGAGCTACAGAAAGAAAAGTTAGTGATGGAACTCGGTGCTAAAGGTTCCTATTAAATCAAAATGTTGACAAACAGATGGAAAAAGCAAACTGAAGGCAGCTGGGCTCTGATTTAAGAAATGCCAAAGCCTAGTTGATTCTTTTTTTTTTTAACCAGGTTGATTTCATCTCAGCATGGACTCAACACTTTGAGTATATATTGAAACACTAGGATGTGCCTCAGACAGAATGGTCACTTATCTAAGGAAACACCTGGGTGGTGAATAGTTCAAGTTATTAGAGACTACGATTGTATAAAAATTAGGCGGCTAAAAAAGATAGAATTCTACAACATTTTGCTTTAGATGAAGAGTCTTATAAAAAAAAAAATTTCACGAATATGTTATCGAAACTCATGAAAGCAAATCAAAGTTTCTGAAAATCTGTTATCCAAACAGATGCATCAGTTTCTTTATGGTTGAGAGTGTTTGAGCCAGTCAACTTCTGTATGAATAAAAGTTTCTGAAACAATCAGCTTCTGTTTGAATGAAAGTGTTTGAGCACTAAACTTCTGTGTGAATGAAATAATTTATGCCAGTCGGCTAATGAATGAATGAAAATGATTGAGCCAGTAAACTTCTGAGTGAATAAAAGTGTTTGAGCCAATCAACTCATATATAAAGAAAAGTGTTTGAGCCAATCAACATATGTGTGAATGAAAGTGTTTGAGCCAATCAACCTCTGTATGAATGAAAGTGTTTGGGCCACTCAACTCATATATAAAGGAAAGTGTTTGAGCCAATCAACGTATTAGTTAGTTAGTTAGTTAGTTGGGTTATAATCAACGTATGTATGAATGAAAGTGTCTGACCAATCAGCGTCTTTGTGAATGAAAGTGTTTGAGCCAATCAACTTATGTATGAATGAAAGTGTTTGAGCCAATCAACTTATGTATGAATGAAAGTGTTTGAGCCAATCAACTTATGTATGAATGAAAATGTCTGACCAATCAGCGTCTTTGTGAATGAAAGTGTTTGAGCCAATCAACTTATGTATGAATGAAAGTGTTTGAGCCAATCAACTTATGTATGAATGAAAATGTCTGACCAATCAGCGTCTTTGTGAATGAAAGTGTTTGTGCCAAACAGCTTACTTTTCTCCGTGGGTCAGAGAGAATCTGTTCTGGTCCGTAGATGGTCCCCAGTGGAGAGTACTGCTGACTGTGCCAACACCCAGATCACCGGCGTTTCCTGGTGAGATAAGTCAAGTACTGAACATTCGTGGTGTGATCAGTCAACAACCTAGCTTTTCTGGTGAGATAAGTCAACTACTCAACTTCCAAGCACTCGAAAATATGTTTCAATGCCATAAAATATGTAAAGTAGTAAAAACCTTACAATATGTCGGATATGACAATACACGAAAACTGAAAACACGATAGGAAGAAAACAAAAGAACACAAAATCTACAAGAGAGGAAAAGGTCCCAACCAAACTGTCAGAAATTTTGAGTAAGTAAACAAAAAAGCAGTTCATCCCTACAATATATAGTTTTACAGTGTGTCTACAATTTAGAATCTATAACAGTACTTTTACTATGTATAATATAGGTTACGATTTATAAGTGTTCATGGCAGATCTACAGTTTAGAGTATACTGCATTTCAATTTATACACACCACAATACCATTACAATTTAGATTATGAAATATTACAATTCAGAATGTCTTACATTACATCTAAATATTTTAGTAAAGATTACTACAATTGAAAGCACAGACTACATTACCTCTAGACTCCATAATATCAATCTCTCCAGATCTGGGCCAGCCTCCGTAATGACTCTCCTGTGGCATCATCCAGATAGCTGGGGCAGAGGAACGTTTATTGTAAAGGTCATAGTTCATGTTAATTGGGACCAATGAAAACAGAAATAATAAGGAATCGATAAACGGAGATGTAGTTTATTCAGAAAGAAGTCCTAAAAAGAATTAGGGGAGGAGTTTTAAGACAAACATTGAGAAGACTGTTTAGAAGAATACTGACAAGACAGTTGAGGGTACTGTTGAGAAGACATTTGAGAAAAATGGTGAGAAGACAGTGAGGAGAATGTTGAGAAAACAGTTGGGGAGAATGTTGAGAAAACAGTTGGGGAGAAGAAGTTGATGTTGAGAAACAGTTTGGACAATTGAAGAAATGTTGAGAACAACGTGAAGTGTTGAGAAAAAACAGTTGGGAGAATGTTGAGAAAACAGTTGGGGAGAATGTTGAGAAAACAGTTGGGGACAATGTTGAGAAAACAGTTGGGGAGAATGTTGAGAAAACAGTTGGGGAGAATGTTGGGAAAACAGTTGGTGAGAATGTTGAGAAGACAGTTGAAGACAATGTTGATAAAACAGTTAGGGAGAATGTTGAGAAAACAGTTGGGAAGAATGTTGAGAAGACAATTGAAGAGAATGTTGAGAAAACAGTTGGGAAGAATGTTGAGAAGACAATTGAAGAGAATGTTGAGAAAACAGTTGGTGAGAATGTTGAGAAGACAATTGAAGACAATGTTGAGAAAGAAGACAGTTAAGAATAATGTTGTAAAGAATGTTGAGAAAATGTTAAGAAGAATATCAAGGAGAATGCTGAATAAAATATTGAGAAGAATTGAGACTTGGAGACAAGTGTTGGGAAGACGTCCCTGAACACGGTCATTCCTGCCAGTACACAGTCATTCATACCTGAACACGGTCATTCCTGCCAGTACACAGTCATTCATACCTGAACACGGTCATTCCTGTCAGTACACAGCTATTCTTACCAGTAAACAGCCATTCGTACAAGTACGCAGTCTTTGTACAAGTACACAGTCATTCGTTCAAGGACAGGGTCATTCGTATCAGGACAGCTATTCGTACCAGGACTACCGTTGGCAACAGGACCGGCGATACATACCAGGCCACAACCAGTCTCCTCTGGGAATCTTAGCTCGAACTTCCACAGTTCCAAAACGAGCAGTAGGAACACTGGAGACTTTGCCAGACATGACCGGGGGCAGCAAGCCGTTGTGTCCATCCCTCACACAGCCATAGTTGCCGTCATTGGTGCATTTGCCCCAGATCTCTGGTGGAAGAAACGTAGCAGGCTAGGCATTAGATAGTCGATGAAATGATATGCTCAAGCAAACACACACAAAAGTCGCAGCTGTAATGGGTCAGCCATGTGTCCTCAGTGTAACATTAAGAAGTTATTATAGATAATCTTCTAAAGGTATAACTGATTAAGTCAAGAAAGTTTTCAATAGAATGAAAAGGAAACTTCAGGCCGGCTTTATAAGACAAGAATGCATCAAGAATAACTCGCAAAACCTTTATCTTTCTGCCGGTCATGTGGGTGTTTGAGGCAACGAGCGTGCATATCACCTGACGGGCAATGCGGTTACTATTAGTCCAGATGAATATGCCAGATGCATATCGTGAAGAAGGTCAGAACAAGCAGGAGTATCCTTGGCCAGATTGGTGGACACGAGGATGCAGCCTGAAATAGCCAGATATGAACAACTCACTTCGGGCCCAAGACGCCTGACTCATCAACGCATAAGATGTGTAATCAGTCTTGAAGACTTATTGAGGATGAGCTGGGAGTACCTGCTAGGAACTGCTCGATGTGCTGTTTTCATATACCCCGCCAATCACTGAACCAAGGGAATGTCAAAGAGAATAGAAAGATATATGCAAAGCATATGTGAACTGAAAGTGAACATACTTGGTTTTTCTGTATAAGGTAGCTCAAATTTATAAACTGGGTCGGGTGGGGGTAGTGGTATGGAGCGGGGGGGGGGGGGGGGATGAGAATTCAGTTAGTAACCCTACGGTTCTTTGAAAGGCGAAAGAAAAATGAAAACTTCTCCAATGGCAAGATGCAACTAAGTTCTTTGAAATTTTAAAAAGCTTCACTCCAGTCACTTCTCGTGTTTCTGTATTAATGCCAGCAGATTTAAAAATATGTCCTTATATCGTGTGTGTTTTTTCTGTCCACCAGCAGAATTGTTCTGCCCTAAAGTTCAAACACCAGAATGTTACCTGGTGTACTCGTTACAGGTGTCTGAATTATAACTTCTCAAAAAACTGAACCTGGAGTCTGAAGTTTATGTTCTTTTGTCTGAGGGCTCGACATCTGTGATGCTGTTTATTTGGTCTTAAAAAATGTGACAGAAAACTGAGACAGGAACCGAACAAGTCAGCCATGCTCCAGGAACCAGCGACCACTTACTTGCCACGTCCATGACTCCAGTATGGAGAAAGTTTTCATCCCATCTTGGGTCATCTGTGGTCAAAGTCTGAAAGAGAACATATTTCAAATATAGATAGAGAATACATGTGAGTAGCACTTAACGTCGACCCTTAACTTATTCCATGGCGTGCAACTCACCAGGTGTTTTCTATCATCATCATCATCGTCGCCATCATCATCATCATCGTCGCCATCATCATCGTCGTCGTCAGCAGCTGCATCATAAAAAGCTATCTCCGTGGCCATGTGGTCAATCCGCCTTGCTCACACCTTGAAGGTCGGGGTTCTTTTTACAGAGCTTTGTTCATTTCCTTGAACACAGTGAAATTGATCTTTGTCTGTGGTGATCCATTTCCTTGAACACAGTAAAACTGATCTGTGTCTGTGGTGATCCATTTCCTTGAACAGAGAAACTGATCTTTGTCTGTGGTGATCCATTTCCTTGAACACAGTGAAACTGATCTTTGTCTGTGGTGATCCATTTCCTTGAACAGAGAAACTGATCTTTGTCTGTGGTGATCCATTTCCTTGAACACAGTGAAACTGATCTTTGTCTGTGGTGATCCATTTCCTTGATCACAGAGAAAAATATTCAAGGCTATAACTTTTGCAAAAGTTTACTTTTACTAATTATTATTATTATTATAGCCAAATAAATAAATAAATAAATAAATAAATAAATAAATGAAAGAATGCATTTGTTAGTGTAAGTTAATATAACACCTACGAGGTTATGGTAACTAAATATATCACCTGCGAGGTCTAAGGTAACTTAATATAACAACTGCGAAGTTTAGGATAAGTTAATGTAACAACTGCAAGGTTTTAGATGTTAGTATAAAATCTGCTCGGTTAAGAATGGATCGATATGACACTTATATGCGTTTTAAGAATAACCAGTCACTACTTTACTGATTGCAATTGTTCGTTATTTTGAAGCCCTACCCTTGTTCTTGCTATGGGCTCGCAATATATCCCGGCCATACATACGGCCTAATATTTGAACGCGGTTTCCTGGACCTCTCCACGGGTGATCCTCATCCGCATGCAGGCACTTTGTGTCATCGGGTGTTTATCGCTTGTGTGATGTTCTACTACTACTACTACTAAATAACACCTGCGTCAATCAAAGACTTCCCCATGTGGGATGCCATTTTCCGTTATTTGAAGCCCCACCCTGGCTTTTGTCCGTGGTACTGAATGTAGCTTGGCCACATTTGCGACTCCACCCTTTCAGTTCATCCAAGACACATAGTCATGGATGTCTGCACGATGATTTCATACACATGAGACTGCAGAATTTGAACGCTGTGTTCTTAATAACTGCTACATCTGCTTTCTATTTTCGTTGTTATTAACTACTCTTCATGGTGATGTTACATTTTATTTTCCAAGTTCAGCCTATCCTTCTTCTTCTTTCTTTCCTCTCTTTCTTTTTTTATGTCCTTTTTCACGTTTTTGTTTTCTGCTTCCACTTTTCCAGTCTATTTTTTATTCATTATTGACTGATCGTGATGATGGTGGTCATAAGGTCGTTGTGGCTGTGGTTGTAGTGATGATGATGATGATTGCGATGATGCTGCTGATGGTTATAATGATGATGATACAAGACGCAAAGCTGAATGTTTAAATGAAGTCACTCACGGGACGCAGGTAGAGATGGCCGCCACTGGCGTAGATGTTCTTGGATTCCGGAGTGTAGACCTGGAACTCCCAGTTCTGGGGACATCAAAGAGATGACAGAGTTAAGTGATTTGTGTATTCTCATTTCTAATAGTCTCCTTGTTATTTTATGTTATATGCTGATGAAGGCTTCAAAGTCGCAATAGTTTTTTGTCCTTCTTTATTGAGATGAACTGAAGCTAGTTAGTTATTCTTCTTGTTTGGTTTGAAATCTTGTCCTTAAGCTCACCATAAATCCATAAGCTCTCCGCTCCCACATTAGGCAGCCAGCGCAGTGCTCCAATTCTGATGATACCAGTATCAACCTCATTGTATGTACGTGAGGCCGACCAAATCCCCTAGCAAGTCCACGTTGCACCATTCTCCCCCAGACCTCAATGATCTTTCTGTTCTACTGTTCTGTTCACTCGCTCTCAAAGCACTTTGACCCTACTAAAACTGGACTATAATGTATGTCTTGATTTATGCGGCAGACTCACGATCGAAATCTCAGTACAGCAAAACAAAACTCCCCGGGTGGGTTTAGCATTTGTTATCCGCGTCTGAACATCCTTCAATGACGGCTTCTGTCTCGTCAGTCAACAGACTCCCATGGCGGGCTTCGGTCTCGTCATTCAACCTGCCTCCCATGGCGGGCTTCGGTCTCGTCAGTCAACAGCCTACCATGGCGGGCTTCGGTCTCGTCATTCAATAGCCTTCCATGGCGGGCTTCGGTCTCGTCAGTCAACAGCCTACCATGGCGGGCTTCGGTCTCGTCATTCAATAGCCTTCCATGGCGGGCTTCGGTCTCGTCATTCAACAGCCTACCATGGCGGGCTTCGGTCTCGTCAGTCAACAGCCTACCATGGCGGGCTTCGGTCTCGTCAGTCAACTGCCTCCAATGGCGGGCTTCGGTCTCGTCAGTCAACAGCCTTCCATGGCGGCTTCGGTCTCGTCAGTCAACAGCCTACCATGGCGGGCTTCGGTCTCGTCAGTCAACAGCCTACCATGGCGGCTTCGGTCTCGTCATTCAATAGCCTTCCATGGCGGGCTTCGGTCTCGTCATTCAACAGCCTTCCATGGCGGCTTCGGTCTCGTCATTCAATAGCCTTCCATGGCGGCTTCGGTCTCGTCATTCAATAGCCTTCCATGGCGGCTTCGGTCTCGTCATTCAATAGCCTTCCAGGGCGGCTTCGGTCTCGTCATTCAATAGCCTTCCATGGCGGCTTCGGTTTCGTCATTCAATAGCTTTCCATGGCGGGCTTCGGTCTCGTCATTCAATGGCCTTTCATGGCGGTTTTCGGTCTCGCCAGTCAACAGCATCCCATGACGGGCTTCGGTCTTGTCGGTCAACTGACTACTCAGAAGAGTGTAATCTTACTGGGCCACCAGTGGACTAAATCTCTTTCAATGGAGCAAAAGTAGAGAGAGAGAGAGAGAGAGAGAGAGAGAGAGAGAGAGAGAGAGAGAGATAGAGAGAGAGAGAGATAAAGAGAGAGAGAGAGAGAGAGAGAGAGAGTACAAGCGATTACTGACCACAGCATTGACAGATGGCCAAAGGCTGGCCACGAGGTATGAAACTATGTGAGTGTGCTATACAAGGCATCGCCGTAACATTTTACACACCAACAAATACATAAAACATTTGCAAAAGTGACAGTCGCAGTTTTAATAGTAGTTGTGGAGGTGGAGGTGGTGGCAATGACGAGAGGTGGGGGGGGGGGCGAGAGATAACGAACGCAGTCATTAAGACAATCAACAGCGGACTTACGAAACCACCAAACATAGATATTTCAGGATTCCAGTTTCCCTTGTTGTAACTGTTGAAGTCATCCCTGAAAGTGACCGCTCGGACACGCCTGGTCAGCGGCAAAGGTCCACCTCCACCTGTTTGGGGTAGAGTACGGCTTAATACAATCTGTTTAGCCTCTTGTAGATCGACGGTCATCAACAATATAGAGGTACCCACGGCAGGTTCCAAGCTATTTATTTTAAAGTTCCCCCCCCCCCAACCCTGTCTCTAGTAGAGCACCCAGTATATAGGCTGGTACATGTCTCACTTTAGCTGAACTATAGCATCACATGCAAGCCTATCAGCTTGTTCATTTCCTTGTACACCTGCATAACCTGACACCAGGGTAAAACTGATCTTTGTCGCCAGTAATCCAGTCGCTTCTATTATGTGCAATTGATCCCATCTCATAGATGGAATTCACCAACAAATTTCGTCAACATATATGTTAGGGTTCCTTCCACTGGTCTCAGAACAGTCTGATTTCCTGGGTGTAGCAGTTATTGATATTGATCACATACCAATGCGCGATTCTTTCTAAATGAGAAATAATGTTTGGTTGACCAATTTCAATGTATATTTACAAGTTTTATTCAATAAGATATAATTTTTATTTTTTATTTTTCATATACATCCTTGGTGTGGACTTTTTCTCCTTTTTCTTTCTTCTTCTTCTTCTTCTTCTTCTTCTTCTTCTTCTTCTTCTTCTTCTTCTTCTTCTTCTTCTTCTTCTTCTTCTTCTTCTTCTTCTTCTTCTTCTTCTTCTTCTTCTTCTTCGTCGTCGTCGTCGTCATTCTCGTCGTCATCGTCGTCTTTGGATTTACCAGCTGTTAATCTGGTCCGAAAGCTATGTTGTTCGTCCACTTCTGGACTTTGGTTTTTGCCCCAGAACTTGAGTTTTGCTTACACACTCGTTTTACAGACTCTCAGGCAGATGTCCCTTCGACTTCAAAGGAAACACGCCTAATTTGTCGCCTCTTCAGACCCCCCCCCCCACCTCTTTTCCACTTTCCACTGGGCCCCGAACCCACACGGGGACGAGGTTGAACTGACTCTGAGCGGGGTTGAAGGTCAAATCAAGGGGCCTTCGGGCATCGGGCAAATGATGCAGGACTCATTTCTGAAAGAGCGGTCGGCAAGCGATAGTGATGTGGTCAACATCACGCCGGTCGCCTTTACTTCCCTGGACATTGCCTGGTGTACTTTTTAGGCTGAATCGACCTGGGAGCCAAAGTCAGTTTTTAAAATATCTGACTCTATACAGATTTGAACTCAAGACGTTCAAGCGTCTATCCACTACATCACAGTGGCTTCCCGGTCAGGGTGCCTGGAGAAACACGAGAGGTCACTCACCGACATGGTGTGTGGCTTGAGCCGTGGTCAATGTCACTCCGCCTTGTAGTGGACTGTAGCGTAAGCGTGGATGTTATCTCCAGGGTTTGTTGGTAAGGTGGCGTGCAGAACATAGTCTCCCCCTACGGGAAACAGGAAACATAGTTGACTCAGCTTGCATACATTAACGATGTATGTTAATTTCGCCTACCTGTTGAATATTATTATCATCGATGGATAATGGCACCAGACAGCTCACGATAAAAACAAAAACCCTTTTCTATCAAGCTTGTGTTCTCATCCTTTCAGCGGTAAAAATTGCTCAACTTATTCACACTAGGAGACATGGCTAAACAGCTTGTATGCGGGATAATTAAGAAGAATACTTAGCAATATTTGGGAGGACATAATCAGAGACACTATAGTATTTCGAAGAGCAGGTACAACAACAGTTGTCTCAATGCCCGGTCTCTAAAGGCTAAGAAAATAAGAACCTACTTGTAGCCTAGAAGATGAAGAGTTCCTAATGACATCTATCCTAGATGTAAACTACAAACTGGAGGAAGATCTCAAGGCAGGACTCTGCTACAATATAATGATGTGTGTGAGTGGGACGAGCATGATGCAGCTACTGGTGTAGATTCACGGCCTTGGACCGAACTGAAAACAAAAAGTGGGGGTGGGGGGAGAGAGGGAGGGAGTCACACACAAACTGTAGAGAGAAACAAATGGTCCTGAAATTCCATACACTAGTCGTGGAAGAATTCTGTTAGTGAGAGCAGGTCTTGATAGCCACCCTCGCCATCGCCATGGACAATGATCTGCTTATCTTCCTGTCTTTTTCTTCTTCTTTTCTTTACATCTGGAATGACTCGCGGCGTCAGGGCATGAAAAGATCTCTGGAGCGGGTGCTTCTGTTCGCCTTGTACCATCTACTTTTTACTGTCTCTGATATTTCTGCGGTCCATGTTGTGTGTGGCCGACCTCCAGACTATTTCGGTTGCATCTGTATAAAATCGCTCTCCTTGATGCCCTGTCTGATACCAGTCTTGTTACATGGCCAAACCATTTCACTTGTTGTTTACCTATAAAATTTAGTCTTGGTTTTGTGCCGACTCTTCTCTTGATATCATCGTTCCTAAGTTGATTTTTTCTCGTTACACCTAGTATAGTACGTAAAAACTGCATTTCTGTCGTGACTATTTTCTTCTGTCTTCTCAAGACAGTGTCCATGTTTGACATTGATAGCATAGCGTTGGTAAGAATATTATGTCGAACAGTGTTCTTTTAGTGTTCATAATTCACATGCTTGCATTTCAAAATTGGTGCCATTTGGCTTAAAACTTGACTGACTGAATTGCATCTTGTTGGATTTCAGTACTAATTCTTCAGTTTTCTGAAAGAATGTAAATTCATTGGCCTGTTTTAACTGGCGTTGAACGGTTAGAACGCTGGGCTCTCAGGCGGGGGACCCGGGTTTAAATCCTCAGTAAGTCTAGAGATTTTTTTTTTCTGTCAGGCTCAAAATAAAATCCTCAACTGCACAATCGTGGCGACAGCACTGGTCATGCAGCGGTAAATCCTCAACTGCACAGTCCGTGGCGACACCACTAGCCATGCAGCGGTAAATCCTCAGGCTCAAAGACTCACCCACCCCCCCCCCCTCCCCCGCTTACACCGCAGAAGTGGTATAATGAAGGCAGTAATTGGCAGTTTAACTGGCGTTCATCATTTGTGTTTTGGTGGTTCTTCCTTTTCTGGAGAACACATTATAACACTTGTCTGGAAAGAGGTAAATGTGCCAAGAAACATTAACACACCCGTAGAAGTCCACAGGAGGCTATCATATTACTGTCACAAAAACGGATTCGTAAGAATGTTTCTAATCGTGACTGGGCGTGTTCTAGGCTGACACACCACATAGTAGTCTTCGATGTGGGAAACCTGGCACGGCATTCAACAACTCAATTTTCAGTCTGAGAGACCTCATGCGGCATGCAGCAGTTCATTTGTTGGTCTGAGAGACCTCATGAGGCATGCAACAGTTCATTCTTTGGTCTGAGAGACCTCATGTGGCATACAACAGTTCATTCTTTGGTCTGAGAGACATCATGTGGCATGCAACAGTTCATTTGTTGGTCTGAGAGACCTCATGTGGCATGCAACAGTTCATTCTTTGGTCTGAGAGACCTCATGTGGCATGCAACAGTTCATTCTTTGGTCTGAGAGACCTCATGTGGCATGCAACAGTTCATTCTTTGGTCTGAGAAACCTCATGTGGCATGCAACAGTTCATTCTTTGGTCTGAGAGACCTCATGTGGCATGCAACAGTTCATTCTTTGGTCTGGGAGACCTCATGTGGCATGCAACAGCTCATTCTTTGGTCTGAGAGACCTCATGTGGCATGCAACAGTTCATTCTTTGGTCTGAGAGACCTCATGTGGCATGCAACAGTTAATTCTTTGGTCTGAGAGACCTCACGTGGCATGCAACAGTTCATTCTTTGGTCTGAGAGACCTCATGTGGCATGCAACAGTTCATTTATTGGTCTGAGAGACCTCATGCGGCATGCAACAGTTCATTCTTTGGTCTGAGAGATCTGACACAGCGTCCAACAATTTAAATATATCGGCCATAGAAAGAAAGTTTTTTTTTTTTTTGGGGTCAAAAGATTTGTAAGAGGAAAAAGTGTAGAATAAGTGTGCAAGAGAAAGACGCTGCTACATGTGGGTAGACAGATTGAAGAATTGGACTGGACAGCTGCTAACTATCCAAGATCTGCCCCTGATCCCCCTGAAGGTTTGACAAGAGGCAGCTCAACTTAACGAAGTCTCTGTCTGGCTGGAAGGCTAAAAGGGTAAATCCCCCATATCCCTAAGACCGACAGACAGACAAACAGAAAGACAGACGGACATGCAGGCAGGCATGCGGGTAGGCAAACAGACAGGCAGGCGGGCTGATAGGCAAACAGGCAGGCAGGCCGGCGGACAGGCAGGCAGATAGATAGATAATGTATGGATGTATGGATGGATGGATGGACGGATGGATGGATGGATTAATGGATGGATAGATATTTTGTTTGAACACAAACACAACATTGGATCTGATGCAGATACCTGTGCGAACGCCAGGTCCTTGATGCGAGGCTGTTCCGGCACCATAATGGAAGAAAACGTTTTCTACGTCATTATCGTTGGCCGCTGTTAATGAGGACAAGTATATTTATTAGTAGCAATTATTGTCGTTGTAGTGGTGATGGTTGTAATAGTATTTTAGTGGTAGTTGCAGCTATCACATGTTACGTATCAGCAGCAACACTAGTGGTTTAGTATTAGTAGTTTAAGATGTAATAGCAGCCCTGTTTTCGTAATGGTATGTACAGCAATAGCACTAGCAGTTTCATCAGTGATAGTCACTACAGTGGTAGCAATAGTGCTAGCAACTTCAGTAGTGGTAATTGTAGTAGCAACTAAAGAAGTGGTAATTGTAGTAGCAACTACAGTAGTGGTAATTGTAGTAGCAACTAAAGAAGTGGTAATTGTAGTAGCAACTACAGTAGTGGTAATTGTAGTAGCAACTAAAGAAGTGGTAATTGTGGTAGCAACTACAGTAGAGGTAATTGTAGTAGCAACTACAGTAGTGGTAATTGTAGTAGCAACTAAAGAAGTGGTAATTGTAGTAGCAACTACAGTAGTGGTAATTGTAGTAGCAACTAAAGAAGTGGTAATTGTGGTAGCAACTACAGTAGTGGTAATTGTAGTAGCAACTACAGTAGTGGTAAT